GGCATCAAGTGCGCTAGTATGTCATATTATTATGGATGATTTTATTGTGTATATATTATTATGTATTTTGTATACATCGACCAAAAACAAAAGATACCTGTGAGAAAAACTACAATTTAATTCTTCCATACGGCTCTCTAGCATTTCGATATACTAGTGGACCAATTGTGATTTGACAATTTCAAATGCAAATCAAAGGTGATTTTTGAACGATAAAATTGAGACTTACTCATAATCATTCAACATCATTTAACACCAGATGGCCTGTAAGCTCGTCCATCCAATTAAACAATAAAAAAAAACGAATTATAATGTTATGAAAACTTTCAATTTTGCAAATATTCATAAAAATAAATCAATTCATAATAATATCAATCAGATGAACGTAATAGCTGAGAAGCATTAGAGAAGATTCACTTAGGCGTAGACAAATATTAAAACTTTTTCGCAGCTAAAAATTGACGCGTTTATATAACGCCAGTGCGTATCATACAAACCAACCCACCCTTCAGTTTTTGTATCGTAAAACAATAATGGCCGCACAAATTGTCCACAATAGCACAACGACATACGAAGCACACGTGTTGGACATGTTCGCGACACATTTCGTATTCGGACTAAAACTAATATGTTAAATGAAGAATAAATTGTTATTTTAGTATTATTATGTTTTTGAGTTCCATGGTAGATCAATGTAAGGGCATGTAAATTTTAACTACCAGTCCTATCACTGCTGGTCGACGTATATTTCTTCTGAAGTCACATCGAAAAAGTATGGCGTCAACTTTTTTTTGCCCACCTATTCGCTGGTAGCCTTAGAGGACGCCCTGACGGGTAGGTGAGATCGCGGGCTCAACCTGAGAGAATTTGCTAACACTAGCCCTAGCCAGAGCAGTGTTACTCTAGAGCAGTGCTAGAATCTACCACCGGATCGGAATCACGACTCACTGAGAAGATCCGGCAAAAAACTCAGTGGGCTGTGTCTAGGGATGTTTGCAGACGCGCACATAGATTGTTTTTACGTTACCATGCGTAAGAGGTGTGCATCTCTGGTAAGCAGAGTGAGGGCCAGCTCCAACAGTTTCCTGAGCATGATCGCAAGCAGGCTGGACTGTGTATACATGAGTCGCTGTGGTGCCATCTCCCATGGGATGTTACGACAGTAATTCATTGTGATGTAAATATAACTACTAACATAGGTCTAAGTCTTATTAACAATTTATATGAGTCATGGTTACTTGCAATAAAAATTTTTTTATTATTATTATTATTATTATGGGCTAGGTAGTTCGACGAGGACGGTGACCGGTGCTTGAGGGGCCTAAAAGTACCAAGAGTGTGAATCCGGGAGATCCAATAAGACACGTTTCTGGCGACGGCGGCTTTACGTTGCCCCGTCGCAGTCGGATAATTAGTCGTCAACTAATAATACCAATTATCTCTTCTTCAACCCGTGTCCACACAATGCTGAGTGTACATCTCTTGAAATGCACCCCATTCTCTTCGGTCTTTGCCTTTCTCATCCAGTCTCTACCAACGACTTTAACCAGGTCATCCGTCCACCACGTTGGCTGTCTGCCCACGTTACGACTTCCAGTACGAGGTCTCCACTCCAGTATTTTTATGCCCCACCGATTGTCATTGCGACGACATATGACCGGCCCACATCCACTTTTTCCGAGCAACCACTTTGGCTATGTCAGTTAAACCAGTTTTTTGCGGATACCAACTATACCTACCAGTGACACCAATATATATTTATTTTTTAATAGTTATAGGTGGCCGCAGCAGATGCAAGCTTACGATCCTAGTCCTAGCTACCGAAGTCCCTGGACTATATGAATGTTTGCGGACTCTTAATTAATTGAAAGAGAAGTCGAGGAAGATTGCCAACCAGGTGGACGGACATTGTCAAGAAGGCCACAAACACCAGCGTCCCGGGCGCCATTAAGCAGGCCAAATGCAGGTAAGTTGGAAGAAGCTGGTGCAGAAACTAGACCAAGGTGGTCACGACCCTTAGTAATGAGGAAGCGACGAAGACGAAGAAGAATTAATTGCTATAATTGCCGACTCACCGTAGAATTTAAATGGGAACGCGTAGTAAATAAATAATGCCTCCATTATAATAAGGCTTTTCTGCAACTTTCGTATATTCTGGTCTAGTCAACCGTACTTATCTATGTGAATAAATGTTAATGTTTGTATTTACTGAACAGTTCGTCCGATAGTGATGAAACTCGATTCACATGTTATTAAAAATCAACAGCTTATGTTCACAGATCAACCATGTTACAGATATTGACACACAAGGACATACAAATAAATTACTATGAATCTTAGAATGAATTCACTATGTCACTAAGTTAAACAATGCCAGATAATTAGGTACTAAAGCAACACCTACTTAAATGACCTACTGAGCGTAGTAGCAAGCGTACGTTGCGCGCACCTAGTGGTAAGTCGTCACTCTCGCTCTGCACGGGTATATCCAAGTCTCTGCCGCGATTACTGTTTTTGCATTTCAGTTGAAGAAAGGTATGTCAAAAAGCTCAGGAAACATTAAGAAAAAAAAAGAATTAGACATTAATAGTAAATAATCAAATTGTATATATTATTAATTTATGCTTATTTACAAAAATAACTAAATTCTCATAAAATGATATATCCAAGTCTCGTCAGCGTTGATGCAACTCCATCTATTATTCGCGGCCAGAACTAAAAATAGAAACTAAAACCGGCTCACGCGACTGCTCAAAACTTCAGTTTTCCGTGATGTGAGATAGCGATATTAATAATAACAAATTCGGACGTGCTAAACAAGGACGTGTGACAATGTCGCGTGACCGGTTAGCATTGCAAGGTCGTCGCAAAGAGGTGAGTGACTTTTTGTTTGTGGTATTCATCATTTTATTTTCAACTTTAAAATTATGTAGCTCAAGATCGATTATTCTATAATATGAATTTGCCAACACAAACTGCTGTAGCACATTTGGCACACAATTAAATTTCTTATTTGAAAGTTTAACAGACTTTGGACTTTATTGTAACTACATAAGGCGTAAATATGACTTTCACGTAAAATCGACACCTTGTTTATTTTATTCGCGTGTTGATCCGCCATGACATATTTTTATTGTTCATTGATTCAAAATTGTGAATTAAATGGACGATTACTGCTGATTGAATGTCTTGATTGTTGTGTATGATCGCTGATGTAGTTGCCATAACTAATCTGAGTGTTTTTTTCGGTTTTGGAGAGGTCAGTGACCCGTCAATCATAATTTTTCGGAAACGAAACTCAAATTTTGTAATTATTTTTTTCAAACTTTAAAAATGTATTTAAGCTCATAACTTAAAGCTTTCTTCTTGTATATCGTTCCCTCACTACTAAGGATCGCGACCACATGTGACGTACTTCCAATGTGCTCGATCATGGGTGGCATAGATCGCATGGTACAGACTACCACCAAGTGCTTCTCTTACTAGATCTGACCATTTGGCTGGTGTTCTGCCCACGGCGCGCTCGCCCTCTATGCGTCCCGTAATTATGAGCTTCACTAATTCATGTTCGCGGCAGATGGAAGAGAGCCTTTTTCGGATGTTTTGCTGCCTTATAGCTCTCAAGTGCAGCTAATTAACGGAAATTCTAACGTATCACGCTCGAACGTGGAATTCGTTAATTGAATTTGAATTTGAAGGCGTGTGAACCGAACGAGTCGTATACCGTGCGAAAATCTTAACGGCGCTATGACTATGTTCGATGAGTTCAAGGCCCGCTTACTTAGTTTCCGATCCGGTGGTAGATTCTGTGAAGCACGGCTCTTGCTAGGGTTCGTGTTAGCAACGTCGTCAGGTTGGAGCCCCGTGAGCTCACCTACTAGTTAAGGTTACGCTGAAATAGCCTCTCAAGGCTATCGATCAGCATAGGTAAGGAAAAAAAAAGCTGTTAAGTGGTTGCCGGAACTCATAAAAATCTCCATGGGGATGCCACCACCTACTTTGATACATGAGATCTAAGTCTCAACTATTATACATAATATTATTTATAACGACTGCATACATTTCACAACATTTTTGATTTTTACTATATTAAAAAAAAACATATATTTATTAGTCAGCTACATTTCTTATGCTAACTTAGTCCGCACCGTTAGAATTATATAAACCCATTTCAAAATCATTGAATTTCGACTTTAATTCACTTCTTTGAAGCTATCAATATCATGAAATAGCAGGCTTTAATTCTGCACACGAAAACAAATGCTTGACAAAGAACGTAAATGGTGCTTTAAGCGTAAATATTATCTCTCGAGTCTCGTAAGTGAAAAAGATTACTTATGTACTACAAATAAAAACTAAATTCACATTTCAATTGGCACTAAAAATATCAAGATAAAATCTTACACTAAAATATTCAGCCGTAAAACAAATCTTTAAAATTATTACCGGTAAATGTAAAACACATCTAAAATCAGGAAATAATTCAAAAGACGAGTGGCTTTACGATGTAATAAAACATTGGTTGATTTTATATGCACTGAAACGCTTTAGTTTTATTGTTATTAGTGCCATCTAGCGGCAAGTGCGTGTACTACGTTCAGATAAATCCTATTATTTAGACCACCGGAGTCGCATAACATTTGCTTAAGTTCGGAATTAATTATTTTAAGCTGCCAGTAAAATATTGCTCACCCGTCATGTTCTGGCTGTCAAAGTGTTCTTTTAAACAATATTTGACTTATGTAGTTATTCTATACCTTTGTACAATACTATTGCCAATAGCTTAAAATAAAAAAATAAAAATTAACAGCTCATTGATAAAAAAGTTACGTGTATTTATAACTTACATAAGAATTTTAAACATGTATTATTATGTGGGTTAGATTGGTGGTGTCACTTTCCTCTCAACAATTAGTTCGCACTTATATTAACAGTTTCTAAATTTATTCAGTATTCATAATAATATTAAAATTATGTTTATTCTATTTTATTAAACTTACCTTTGCGTAATCGACAGGGGAAGCGTTAACTGGACACGTGAATAGTCCCTCACTGAAACAATGAAACGTATAAAATTACTTTAATTCCCAACTAAATAATTAATAATAATAATAATAAAGCTCTACTGGGACCGGCCTATCATCACGGACAGGACTTTTGTGAACAAGCCTGATATCGTGCTGATAGACCGGACGGAGTCTCGGGTATTTCTGGTGGATATCACCATTCCCTACGACGAGTACCTTGTGCGCGCCGAGTCAGATAAAAAGACCAAATATCTGGACCTGGCGCACGAGGTGACCGACATGTGGAGGGTGGTATCTACAGAAATAATTCCGGTAGTTGTATCGGTGAATGGTTTGGTCCCTAAGTCTCTCAAAACATCTCGAGAGGCTTGGTCTCAACAAAAAGTCGGTGGTGGCCCAAATGCAAAAAGCAGTCTTGCTGGACAATGCCCGTATATTTCGCCGGTTTCTCACCCAATAGTCCCTGACGCTCCGGCCGATTGTTGCCCACCTCGCCGGAGTGTGTCCTGCCGTCTTCTCAGGCGAGGCAGTGTTGAATACACAATAATAATAAGTTTGGAAAATGAATAAAGTATATATTGTGCCGCTAGTGCTTTCCAGCACTGGAGTCATACCAAAGTAACTTCACCACTCCATCAAACTATTAGATTTACCCAAAAATGTATATTTTTACCATGCAAAAAGCCACAATTATAAATACGTGCCGGATTGTTCGGAAGTTTTTGCAGGACGAAACATCAGATGAAACTAAAACTGAAAATGAACTCCACTTGGCGTAGGCCCGTGGTTTTTCAGTATTTACCGAAATTCATAGAAATTCGAGAATAAAAACATTGTACTTAATAGTAATAATAATAATTTCGTATAATACATCTCGCAGTTCGGCGTGCTTCTTGGCATAGGTATTTTTTATTTTTATTGCTTAGATAGGTGGACGAGCTCACAGCCCACCTGATGTTAAGTAGTTACTGGAGCCCATAGACATCTACAACGTAAATGCGCCACCTATCTTGAGATATAAGTTCTAAGGTCTCAGTATAGTTACAACGGCTGCTCCACCCTTCGAACCGAAACGCATTACTGCTTCACGGCAGAAATAGGCAAGCTGGTGGTACCTACCCGTGCAGACTCGCAAGAGGTCCTACCACCAGTCTCCTCCAACTCTCTCCAATGAGCTCGGTCCTCTGCAACTCTGGTCCAGCATGGTCCTAGGGTTTGACGTATATCGTCACTGCATCTTGTTTTCGGACGCCCCTGTCGTCTAGAGTCCCCTCTTGGATACTATAAAGTTACCTGTTTACTCAATTTTTTTTTTCACAACGTAGCATATTATTGTCCTGTCCAACTCCATTTTAGATTTTCTATACGAGTTATTATATCCGTTACTTTTGTCTTCCTTCTTATTTCCAAATTTCGAATTCGGTCACTAATTTTGATACTCAATATGCTTCTTTGCATTGCTCTTTCTGTTTTAACAAGCTTTATCTACGTTTGTCGATTATTTCTGTTTTTGTAGCAGTGACCAATATTGTGACCAGTATTTGTACCAACCGCTATTCTTTTGTTTATTTCCTTGGACATAGAGCCTTCAAGAGGTATAATTTGTCCTTAATAAACAAATTATTTCACATATTAGAACTTGCTTCCGCATATCTCTATGCTGCTTTCTGTTGAGTTGGGCATTAGTTTCGTTTTATCTGCATTAATTTCTAACCCTACTTCTCTGCTTTTTTTACTATGTCTTTTACCATCTGTTCTAGTATTTCAGAAGATCCTAAAAAAAATAAAAACTAGGACGCTTAAATAATTGCAAACGTTAAAATCATTGTCACAGAATGTCAATTGACCAAATATTGACACGAAAATTTCAATGTCAATAATTTCACAAAATTGATTACGAAGTGTTACATGGGATAGCCTACTATTCGAATTTATCTGATCCATTAACTATATATAGCCTATAATCCTATCTCATCAAATGGAATGTTATAGAAGTCATAAAAATATGTATTTGTTTATGACAAATACTTTTATTGTTATTAGATTACGGTTTCATAACCTATTACAGAAAGGTGTTTTTTTTTCTTTCAATGTAATGGCATTTTCTTTTTTAATTATAATTTTGGCACTACTTTGACTTACGCTGAAGTCACTCACAGTTCAAGCGAGCTTCTTATTTAGATATAGTGAACCATTGTAGGCGTTCTCAGGCCTACCTAAGAAACTTAAGTGTTGTTATTTTTTTTAATATCATCATCGAAATTAATTTACTTTTGTAAAAATTGGATAAAAATGTAATTTTATAAATGATAATGAGGTTAAGCGTCCGTAACTTAACAGATAAGAAATGTGTTCGCATCGAGTGATGGGACCATGCCCAAATTCAAATCCCACGCGAAACCTTTACGAATTTGCGAGTGGGAAGCGATCAGCCCAGCTGGTCAAGTATTAAGATAAGACGGACATTATGTAGCATTTTTTTATATTTTTATATTGCGAGGATTGGTGGACGAGCTCATAGACTAGTGTTAAGTAGTTACTGGAGTCCATAGACATCTACAATGTAAATGCCGCCAACCACCTTGAGATATGAGTTCTTTCCTCGACTCGGGAACAGACACCCGGTCGGTTGTCGATCGATGGAGGCATGCTGCGCGTGGTCTGGCGTATGCCAAATGGAGAGAGCGCTTGTTGGAGGAGCTCGGCCGAACTTCGGCCACTCGTCAGCGCACGCTCGAGGCACTGGTGCCTGTGCTGGAGGCATGGTCGGACCGGCGACATGGTGAGCTCTCCTTTCGCCTCACCCAGGTCCTTTCGGGGCATNTAATTACGCAAATTGTAATTTTACAGGTTTTATTTTTACTACACGATGTTATTCCTTCACCGCGTAACTCAATCTTGAACATCGGTTAAGTATTTCATTAGTAGAAAAATTAGTACCCGCCTGCGGGATTGGAACACCGCTGCATCGCTAGATACGAATGCACCGGACGTCTTTTCCTAAGGACAAGATGACTTCAAATAATATAAGTATAATTATATCATTGTAATAATATTGATAGAAGTCGAAGAAACGGCCGTCTGGTGTAGTGGTAAGTGACATGGTCACTACACAAGGGGGTCGCGGGTTCGAATCCCGCCAAGGGAAGATATTTGTATAATAAATATCTTTTCCAGGGTTATGGATGTATATTAAAAATATATGTATGTGTATAATAAAAATCTTACATTTATTTCCGTTATCTGGTACCTGTAACACAAGTTCTTTACGAACTTATCACGGGACCAGTTAACGTGGCGTGATTGTTAGTAAATATTTATATTATATTATATTATTATAAGTCATTATGGCCTAATAGTTAAGGTGTTCTGTGTATCCATATTAAATAATACACTCATACTAGTACGTACCTAGCACGTGTTCACAAAAATCTACAACGGTGAAGGAATAATATCGTTTAATAAACATCAAACTGTCAAAAATTATAAATGAACGTAATTACTTAACTGTTGGGTCCAAATTAAAAATTAATAAAGAGGCCAATAGCAATAGTACACAACGTTGCTGGCAACATTCTTACTATTCTTAAACAATGATATCCACACTAAAGCCTGTATCGTTGTTACTAATCTACAATTATTTAAAATAATTTAAATGAATAAAAACGTTCCAAATCGCGAACCTTCTTAAAAAATTTACATAATTAAATAAAATTTCTCTGGCTCTTCCGTAATCTAGATTGAAATTTGTTTATTCAAACCCAACTAAATAACAATACCTACGTTACAGAGGAATGTTCACACGCTATTAACCGTCTTTACGATTTCTTTAAGCAGACAACAATCAATTCAAATTATTTAAATAAGACGTTATACGACAAATCGTAATTGCAGTGGGTATTCTATTAAGAACTGGTATATGAATATGTATTCACACACAGAAATGCGTGTGTTGGCTGAATACACCAAGAGATCTTCGGATATTTAGTGCTTAATTAAAAAAATATTGAATACCCATTAGTGGTGGTAGGTGGTAGCAAAAACATTACCCATTTTTACGAAAATTGCGCGGACGGAGGAGTATTAAATTTCCCACTCTTATAGAGAATATAGAGCAGGAGTGCAGAATGTTAATATTTTATTTAATTATGCATAAAAATTACATAAAGAAAACATTACACACGCTACTATGTATTTGACATAACATATATATAAACTCTTTGATTACTGTCAAACTTTTGTTATTGCTTACAGTCTGTGGTCAAATCAAATTGAGAATAGATTAATAAGGTTTGTCTTTAATATTATTTGTCTATAGTGTAGTTTTGGCCAAATCTGTGATTATAAAAGTATAAAAGATAATAGAACCATAATAATGTTTACACTTATAATTTCAATTAATTATAGCCAATTTTCGACTACTGGGGGAACACTAGTCTCAAATAAAATGGATACCTTACGGATGCGGATTTACGCTATCGAGAATGTTAAAAAAACTCTCACTGAGCACACATGTCGAGGTCTCATTTGTGTAATATAAGATGCCCTACTTCAACTTTTTTGCAAAATCTTCAACAAACAGTCTTTGAAATAATTTTACAAAGTTGGCCGCCACTACCTACTCAAACCGGAACAATTCAACCTCATTCGCCTTTTCCGATTACCTTATTTAACAATCTCGTATAAGAACTCATCAAAAGGTCATTGAACCAAACTAAATTAAGAATATCAAAATGAATAGGAAGTCTAAGTTACGTATGTTACAGTATTCGTGTTGTTGACAGTGTTCATGCCAACGGCTGATCAACGAAACGCGGTTTCCCATCGGTGTCGCTTACCACCGGCCGGACCGGTTGTTTGTTTACGTTTTGTTTCGATATCGATTACAGTTTGATGCGGTGGAGGACCTAAAATATGCATACATACGTAAGCAAATTAAATAATTTCAAAGTACATCTTTTAGGATATAACGTTTAAAAATAATTGATGTTTGTTGGTAAATAACACTTGGTTATTTAAGGTTCA